GTAGATGGTGACCTGTTACGATGAAACAGGCCATGTTAACTGCTTCTACCCAGAAAAGTTTTTTCAAATCTGCATTCAATCTCATACTGCGAGCTCTTTCCAGAAGAGTCGTGTTCATCCTCTCAGCCATACCATTTTGTTGAGGAGTTTCTGGTGTGATAAAGTGACAGAAAATCCCTCTTCTTTACAAAATTCTTGAAATTCTCTAGACTTGTACTCCCCTCCATTATCTGATCTCAAGCATTTCAGTTTCTTTCATGTCTTCCTTTCTACCTCTACTTTCCATTAGTTAAACTTTGTGAATGCTTCACTTTTGTGTTTCATGAAGTAGACCCAAACCTTTCTTGAGTAATCGTCAATGAAGGTAATGAAGTATTCTGCCCCACCCTTGGATTTGATTGGTGAAGGCCGTCATACATCAATGTGTACATAGTCTAGTATATCCTTGCTCGTATGATTTGCAGTTCTGAATTTAATCTTGCACTGTTTACCGAAAACACAGTACTTACAGAAATCCAGTTTACAGGCTCTGACACCCTTCAGCAATTTTCTTTTATGAAGTTCCATCTTATCTCGTTCACTCATATGCCCTAAACGCATATGCCACAATTTTGTGTCATTTGTGCTGGACTCTACATCTGTGGTTATAGAAGATCCGCCTGTAACTGTATTCCCTATCAACCTGTATAGGTTCCCAGTCATCTGACCTTTCATGACAACTATAGATCCCTTATTAACTTTGAAGACTCCACCTGTTACTGTATACTTGCAACCATTCGAATCAAGGGCCCCCACGGATATTAAGTTTTTCTTTAATTGTGGAACATGCCTCACATCTGATAAGGTTCATACTATCCCATCAAACATTTTGATTTTGATAGTTCTTATTCCAATGGTCTTGCATACCGCATCATTCCCCATTAGAACAAACCCACCACTATATGATTTGTAGGTTTCGAACCAGTTTCTATTTGGACACATATGAAAAGAACATCAAGAATAAAAAATCCAAGAATCAGTAAATTGATTCTTACTTGAATATATAGAGAAAGATCCCTATCTTCTCTGTCAGAGCTATCAGCCATGCTAGCTTCATCCGATGTTTTTCCTGTTTCTATCATCTTTATATCCTCCTTTCTTTTCGTACAATCTCTCTTCATATGACCTTCTTTTTTACAGTAATAGCAAATAAACTTGCCCTTCCCCTTCGATTTTGATCGACTTCTACTTCCAGATCTCTTTTGATTTGATCTGACCCTTTCATGACTCTCTTTGTATTTTCCAAAGAAACCTTCCCCTTGAGATTTAATATTGCTAGTCTTCTTCCTTGTCTCATTTGACAAAAGTGTAGCAGTGACTTCGTCCGTCTCAAAAGTCTCCTTCCCGTACAGTAGAGTCGTAACCAAGTGATCCAATGATCCTGGAAGTGAAGCCAACAAAAGTAGGGCCTTGTCTTCATCCTCGATTTCGACCTCAAGGCTTGCTAACTGGCTTATGATCTGGTTGAACTCGCTGAGATGTTCAAGCAGATCCATGCCTTCTTCTATCTGAAGAGAACACAACTGCTTCTTCAAGAACAACTTGTTCGTCAGAGATTTCGTCTACTCTCGAGTTTTGTCCAAACCTCTAGAGCAGTTTCGAGGTCCACCACATAACGCAAGGCATCATCTGATAAATTCAGATGAATCGGGCTTACCGCCTTTTCCTCAAATCTCTTGCCACTCTTCATCGTCTATCTTTGCTGGTTTCTTCGATTTCCCTAGCAAAGCCTTAGCCAGACCTTGCTGTATCAGAAGATCCTTCATCCTTTGTCGGTAAAGAGTGAAGTTGTTCTTTCCATTGAACTTCTCAATGTCGTAATTGATGCTTAAGCCCTTTCCTGTCATCGTGGTAGCAAACCCCAGAAAACGGAATAACCTGGTAGGCTCTGATACCAATTTGTAGACAACCCTAAAAGCAATCCACAAAAATAAGAAAGAATAAACAAACACAAAAGAAAAAGACAAGCAACCACAATGCAAAGATATACGTGGTTCGGCAACGTGCCTATGTCCACAGGGAGATGAGAGCTTCTTTACTGACAATGGATAATAAAGTTACAATAGTTATCTTCCTCACGCCTCTCTGTTCTCTCTAATTATAAAGAAATTTGCATTTTTCCTTTAACCCTAAAAAACCCCCATATCGCAACAATATATATCGAGTCCCAGATAGATGGTACAAATTATCGAAATACCCCATGTACGGATACAAAAATTTCCTTCGGCCCTCTAGAGTCGTCTCTTTGACTTCACCTTTGGCAGATATATTTCCTTAAAATACAAGACATCAATCTTCAACAAGTGTTTTCCATTACCTCACTCTGCAGGAATTCCCTCTAAATTCTAATTATATGGCCACCCACCATAAACATGAGAAGGGCATAATAAGATCAAAATGTCAGAAATGATGGACAATTGGGTTGCAAATGATATGATGTATGCACTTGCCAAATGCCAAGAGTGAGACATTACTCTATTGAATTTCAGTGGAAAGATTATTAATCAATGAGATGTCATCATGCTATTTCATTGTTAATGTATTTGTGTGAACTTCTTTAACTATAATGAGATTATTTTCCTGACAAACAAAGGAAAAAGTTGAAAAAGATGGCCCTTATAAGGATGAATCTTCCTTTCGAGCCCGTTTCATAATGGAAATGGGTTGCTAGGAGATACTAGACATTTCCACAATTTAGATGCGGTTCATAGATGGGAATTTAGTCTCCACTTGAATATTTGTACCCCCGTTTTAAGGCCAAAACGTGGAAATCCATATTCTACCAAAAAGGTGGAAAAACATGGAGATGTTTATTATACCAAAATAATAATATAATAATTAATATATGGGAAAATTTTATATAAGGTTGCAACCTTAAAATGTAGAATCACATATGCACCTCAAAAATCTATCGGAAATGCTGTTTTAATGTTGAAAAAACCCTCTTATCGATCATCTCAACATCGAGATGTATGAATATGAAAAAAACGTTTTTGAGTCCCTAAAATAGTGCATCTTGCAACACATTATCTAAACCGTCTATTTTCAAGATTTTCATATATTTATAGATCTACTTGATTTTAACCATTTTTGGAATTTAAAATTTTTTAATTAGGTATGAAAATAGATTTTAAGATAATACTAAGTATTTTTTACAACAAAATTACATGTTATAATAAAATTTTAAGGTGCGCCTTAATTGGATTGTTTAAGGTTGCAACCTTATAGAAACCACACCCTTAATATATTACTGTATATGATAATTAATATATAATAATTATAATAATTAATATATATTAACATATTAATTAGATATATAATAATTATATAGTTACTATGTTATGATACATAATCATACATATAATATTATAACATACATTATTATTTAGTTACTATATAAATAATATTTATAATCCTACATTATACTATTCATTATCATCGTCAAAGCCTTTTCTCAATTAATTGGGGTCGGCTATACCAATCATGTTCCACCATTCTGCTCTATTGCATTATATCATTATACAATAATACTATATTAATAATATTTTTATAATACAACATTAATACAATCCAAATCATGGATTGGTATCATCGAAGTCTCTTATCAAATGCTATCCAAACTACAAACACCCATAGTCCAGGAGATGCCAATTCCAAGAGATACCAATTTCAGGAGAGGCATCTCACCAGGACATACCCATTTATAGAGAACCAAATGGGTTCAAAGAGAAAGCAAAGTAAGTCAAAATTGAAATTCAACCAAAAGTCAACTAGGAAAAACAAACTATGCATACAAATAAGATATATCATAGTTGCAGGGGGGTTATACCTCGGATGGAGCTCTGTATGTGACCCACCGTCCAGCTTTTATCCTAAAACCGGACTCCCCATTCACTGCCTACACTAATCATTCTATTACTGATTTTCTCCCACATCTGATTTTGCTTCCTCTTTTATCCAACTCATGCTGCCCAAAAATGCTAAACCGTCTTAACATAAAAGCAATGAATAATTGAGAAGTAGGCTAAATGCCAAAAGGATCGCAGATGCTCATCTACTATCGGATTTAGGGTGACTTTATGAAGCACAATGACTGTAATGACTCGAGCATATTTTGCGTTCATTTCACTATTTAATGTTATAACTTTGTTGTTAATAACAAAGGACAAAACGTTCAGTTTCCAAATGGGTCCAATTTTTCCATGGTGGAACCAGCCAACTTTTAGCCCCACATACTGATTTCGAATCTCATGAATAAGAACCAGTTGTCCAACATTCATTTCTGAGTAGATCACTGTTGCAGGTCAACAAAAAAGTGTCGAAAGTCCAAGAAGTCACCAAGGTGTTAGACATGTCAAACTTGGCAACCAAGGATATTCCTCCAATTTACCAACAGAAATAGTAAGCATGAACAACATTCATGAATTATGAATTGCGCTTCTTTTTTTTTTGATGTATTGTCCATTTAATGTTCAATTCTTATAACAAGGTACTTTTCTCACTTATATTTAAATGGTCACTAAGGGAATGTTTTGTTTTTCTGCATCTTTAATTTTGAAAATTCCCTCAAAAGGATATCTAGTCAATGCCAAGAGGAAGAAATCTAATGAATGAGAACTGCCTTCAAGGACATACCGAATCCTAATGAACAAAAGGTAAGGTATCAGTAAACTTTTTCATGCTCGGTAAACCCTTTCACTCTCAAACTGATTCTCAACATAAGATTCACCCCGGCAACATCATATCCCTTACCTAATTAAAAATGCATACACTGCTAGACAAGGGAATAGTGATGGTACTTGGCACATATGTGAATCAAACCTCGCTCAACTCAATGTAAATGTATATATATATAAGTTAAAATACTTAATCCAACAATGCAAAGAATAATTAAGAACGACTATTGCAAATGTACAATATAGCATGATAGTTTCCAAAGGTTGCAAAGCATGATAGCTTACCATTGGAAGTTCCACCAGTTTATGGTTTGAAAGGTTGCAAAAGTCTTGAACTCCATCATAACTCAACCATCGGTCACGCCTACCCCAACATATTGTTGTATTAACCATCCATGTTTGGCTTGATAATATTCTTCTCGTTTCTTCAACATAGGCCTACAAACTCCAAAAGGTCAATAAGACAAACTGAGTAGCATACTTAGGCAAGGGAACGAATGACACGTGGTTTTTTTGCTATAGTAAAATATACTTCACATAAATTAAAAAGTGGAAAAGTGCTCTCTGGCTTCCATGACACATTTACACTTAGTAAGATATTTTACTAGGGTATATCTGGGCACGAAGAAAAATGCCATGAAATTTTATTTATTCTTCCATGTCAAAATACATATACACTTACAGCCATCTAAATATGTTGCACATGGTCTTTTTGTTTATTGCAACATGCTAACATGGCTTTTCATTTCTAGGGCTAGCAACAGGCGAGGCATAGGCTGGGGCAGCCGAGGCCCTAGCCTTGGCCCTGTTCCACTGAGGGCCTGGCCTAGCCCTATCCAGGCCAGGCTAAATAAAATTAAGGGAAAATTTCGTATAGAACATTAATTCCTTGTATTATTTCATGATAGACCCTCTTTCTATTTTTCTTTCAAGCAGCATAAGAAAATCCCTAACGATTTCGCCGTACTCCCTCATCTCTTATCTCCCACTTTTGACCATAAAAATTAGCCCCAACAAACCTTTTGATACCATTTCATCCAAAAAAAAATTTAACCCTCTTTTTCCTTTACCCTACCTAACTTTAAACGGTTTAGTTAAGTAGTAGTAAATTAATTAAGGTTAGGTAGTTAAGTTATTAT